ACGTGTGGACTTCAACTCCCAGAATTCCCCAGCCAGCCACACGTCTTCAAGTTGCCAAGGTTGAAAAACTCTGCCAAGGAGGATTTGGGGAGACGGGATTCTATCGCGGATTCGGAAGCTCAAAACTGGATAAATTGCTGAGTTATGGCGGCGGCGGCGTGTGTTTGCGTGTTTTAATTTAGTGAGCCCCAATGGTCAGGAGCAGTCTATCCCCTGGGATTGACAATTCCATAAAGGAACAACTGCTAGGGGATTAGACAGACCCCTCTGTGTGAGAGAGGTTGAGGCTTCAGTGCAACTTCCATATTCAGACGAGCTCTATCTTTAATTGCCAGCTTTGGGCGAGACCGTTTTGGGAAGACGAGGCTTTAAGAATCACGGAGTATCAAAAAGAGAGTCCAGTTGAATCAGAGAAGGCGGAAAGGACTCGAAACTTTGCACTTTTTTTTTCTTTTTTGCATGAATGGAGCAAGCTTGCGAATGCCACAGGGTTCCTCTCTGGAGGAAGCGTTCTGCCGGGCTTGAAGCCTCGCACGTTTTGTCGCTTTTTCGTTTTGCCCCCGCACAAAAGAGCGCACGCCTGCCCAAAGCTGGACTTCAACTCCCAGAATCCTCTCCAAGCGAGCGCATGCTCGTTTAAGCGCGCCGGAAAGCTGTCGCCTCGGCGAAGGGCTGGACTCCAATTCCCAGAATCCTTCCCAGCCAGCGCATGCTCGTGCCAGCCTGTCTAAAGCGAATGCCTTTTTCCCCGCCGCCGCGAGTGGGTGTATTACAACGCCCCCTCCCGAATTCTTCGTTCGGCGCAGGCGCGCTGGGCGGGAGGCTTCTGGGAGTTGAAGTCCAGCGCCTCAGGAAGGCGCTCGCATCAAGAAGGCGGCGAAGCATGGACAGTCCCCGCTCTTTTCCCTCATGGAACAGAGAGATGTAGGCACCTTCCCCTTGGCGCCGGCTTGGCGGGCGAAACTAGCGGCCGCCGGTTTCCAAACGGCCCAAGAGGTGCTAGAGGTCGGGCCTTGCCAGCTGAGCAAAGGTACCGCCGCGGGCTGAGGAAGGTTTTCCCGCCCAAACAAAACTTCGCTAATTTGAGCCAAAGTGAGCTTTTCGGATCCTTCCTCGGGGCGACCCCCTGGGGGGCTTTATTCGCCGCTGGGGCTTGTCTTCTTACTGTCCTCCGTCGTTTGGGGCCCTTGGTGGGGAAACGCTGTCAACTCGGATGAATTTCTGGGCCTCGATATCGGAGAAAAAGCATTTCGTGATAGGATTTCAACGCCCCTCCCCGGTGTCGCCCAAACCGTTGTGCGGTAGTGTCGCTGGGGGTCGGGCGGCATATAGTTTAATACGTTGTTTTGGTTGGTCGCAGTCAGCCAGATGTGTAGACTGGGTTTGGCATTTTTATCCCCCATCGAGCCCTTCCCAAGGACCTGGGATAGGCAGGTGTGGTGGTTTGAGGGTGTTAAAGGTATCGTTGCAGGATGGAAGCTGCTCCAAGTAAAGCTGCCTCTTGCAATGGGCTGATGGTGATTTTGTCAGTGCCGATGGTGTTCAAGGGGTGCTCCAGATGTTTGGGGATTTCCCCCAAGGCGCCTATGGCTATTGGGACTATCTTTGCTTTCTTTTGCCACAGTCACTATACTTCTATCTGCAGATCTTTCTCTTCTA